AAAACGACGCCTCCAACAATTCTTCGTTGTCGTGGAAACATATTTACCGAGCCGTTGCCTGGCAACGATAGGAGAATAAACAGACAGACCCGCAGACTCTCCTTTGATACGACGCGGACCATATAGAAAACCACGCCTCCAAGTGTTCTTTATTGTTGCGTGTATTCAGTGCCAGGGGAACGTGTATACAGATCCGTTGCTTAGCAACAATAAAGGGGATACCCATACATACAGATTGATGGGACAGACAACAAAGTGATCTCATAAGCTCACTTTCATTGTTAGCCTACTTTCTGTATTTTGAAAAAATAAAGTAGGCTTATGAAATCACCTTGCTGTAAGTATGTCTTTGTGTCTGTGCATCTGTGTAACCCCCAATCAACTTTGAAAATCTGAACCAATCTTTATTAAACTTTATACATATTTTAGGACACCTGAGACCATCTCAACTGCATACTTCACAAATCCCTCGCGCCAGGCTTTGTGTCTGTATGTGTAACCCTCTTTCGTTGCTAGGCAACGGCTCAGTAAACACACTCCCGTGGCAACGAGGAATTAATGGAGGCGTCGTTTTCTATGCGGTCCGTCTCAAAGTAAAGGAAAGACGATTCATTTTTATTAGAACTTCAAGAGAAGGAAAGTGGTGTAATAAAAATGGATCCATCTTAACGAAGGGCGAGTCCGGCCGTCATGTGGGTGGTGGCCAAACGGGCACAACAGATATAGTTATTAGTTATTTAGAGAGGGTGGGTTTCCCCATGCACCGCGACCAGTTTGATCTATTGTGCTTCCCTCTATGATATTCTACCAGTCTCTATACCCTACCGATAAATGGTGCATACCATCAGTCCCGCCGAGCAAGCGAGTTCGACCACTTGCTTAGCGGTATCTATAATGCTTTCCCCATCTGTCAGAGGCCTTAGAGACTATTGTTGGGCGGGAAACGTCCTGGAATTTGGCTCAGTGATCCCCTTTGGGGATATGAGGTTCTTTTACGTGCCGTAAAGTTACGACACGGGACACACAGCTTAAAGTCCCTCCCGGAAGACTTGTTCCCTGAATTTTTCCGCCCTTAAAAATTCGACGACCTCCGCCGGGTATTTGAACCCGCGTACCACGAGTCATGAGGTGGGAACGTTACCTCTAGACTACGGAGGCCGCTTCACAACAAATATAACAAGAAGTTCTGAGAAGAAATAATCGCCTACTCCTCTTACACGATACGGATCGCATAGAAAAGGACGCGTTTAAAAGCTCTACTATTGCATGAACGTTCATTGCCGCGGAAACGTGTCTGCCGAGCCGTTGCCTAGCAACGATAGGTAGGTTACACATACAGACACACAAGAGTCTATTTTTTCGGCTTTGAGTAATTAGAGAGGTGATATACACAGACACACGGACAGCCATGTGATCTCATAAGCATCCTTTATGTTTTGTTTTGTTTTTTTCAAAATAAGGGAAGTTGTCTGAAACCAATAAAACGTTTATGAATAATATTAAAGAGAATAAGCTAATAATTTCTGGTACGGAACAAGGGCATGTAGAGAAGCGAGAGTGTGTTGAATTGTATTAAACCATTAAGCTCGCTCTACTGGTTGTTATGTCTGCCGACATTGATGCGGGGTACCTCAGTTATTAAATTATAGATACTGGCTGAATGGCAGAGGCTGTGATTTTCCTCCTTGTCTTCACTTCTGTACCAGTTTTGGAGGTCATCCAACTTTGTATCAAGAGGATAGTGGGATCTGTTCTCCCTAGAATAGTCGGGGGCGTGAAGTAGATCACTGGCCACTAGAGCTGAAATCTAGAAATCTCCTTTCACCTCCACGTCCCTTATAAACCTTCTGGTGTGTGGTTAAATGTAGGAATGTCCTTACAGTTTACACGTCTTTAGGTTCTTTTGCGGAATATATGTCCGTCCGCATGTAATACGTCCAGACTGCGTGACAGTGGGTGTGATGGATTTAAATTGTAATTTAGTTAATTGTAATTTAGCTGGGATAGTGTTAAAGGACACCACAGCATAGCGCGTCCTCAGGTTGAGGATGGGGGAGATGACCTCCAGATATGGAGGGTAGCTGCGAATATATTGAATACGTAGTCACGGACAGACGACAAGGGATGGTTCTTCAGCTTGGGGATTGGGCGTGGGGCTAACCACTCCTCATCTTAAAAATAAGTTTGTTACGAAATGTCATAAAGATCCTCGGACTTGCACGGATTCTTGGATGTGACTCAGGATAGGGACCAGTGGGCTGTTGTGAACACTCTAATGAACCATGGGTTCCATAAAATGTTGGGACGTTCCTGAGTAGTTACTATAGGATTCTGACGATGGTGTATAACACACAGAGATATTGGGTTTTCGGACTTTATCCATCGTCCTGGTTTTAAGATAACTAAGAAAAACACGACGTTTCGGAAACTGGATCTGTTTCCGTCCTCAGATGAGGGAGAACACCTATTCTGTTGGGTCCCTTAGAAAGAGCTAGCCTGGACACTGAACACAGTGATTGAGGCTAGCTCTTTCTAAGGGACCCAACAGAATAGGTGTTCTCCCTCATCTGAGGACGGAAACAGATCCAGTTTCCGAAACGTCGTGTTTTTCTTAGTTATCTTAAAACCAGGACGATGGATAAAGTCCGAAAACCCAATATCTTAGTTCCTGAGTAGCTGCACAACTGGCGGCTTCTCAAGAAGCGCTCAGCTCCAAGAAGTTAGTGAATGTTAAAGGACCGAATGAAGTTGTATGGATGCCTTCTGAGTCTCTTCACATATTCTGGCAGTAAAACTTTATACTCCATACTTATTTTGTACGTCATCTGGTCTAAACCTAATTCTCTTTCAGTCATTTCAAAAGGAACTTCCCTTAAGGGCTCATTGATGTGTTTGGTGCCTCAGGGACATAGAAGTAAATTCATCTTTCATAGAATGTACAGCAAATAAGTTTTGCTGAATGTTATGTACAAGTACCGGTAATGTACTTCGAGAGAAAAAAGAGAAATTCTTGTGTCATATGAGAATGAAAATGAAGGGAATTTTTGCGGCTTGTATTACGTCCAGCCTGCACTGCTGAAGTTACGAAACATGTTGTTCCTTTACACCATATATTTTTGCAGGCAGGCATATGGACTTTGTTTTCATAGGACAAACAAAAGGTGAATAGAATATACAGCTAATTGTTTATAATGACAACATTATTTATTATAGCAGGGATTTCCAGACTGTTTTGCGAAACCCTGGAGTTTCCCGTCGTTTATTAGCGATCATAGGACTAAAAGAAAATGTTCTTATAAATGCGTGAATCTTAAACCTGTAATTATGGGCGGAGATTGCTTCTGAACATCGTGTCAAATTGGTGAATCTGAATTTCTGAAAATTCAAAGAAGACTGAAGACTGAACTTGCTTGCTCTCTGAACCACAGTTCCCTACGTATAGTTCTGACAGATATTGTACCAGAAGACATTAACACGTTTCTACCTATCTCACTTGTTAAAGCGTTTTAGAGTAATAAACGTAACTATAGAGCTGACTTTTATTACGGACGGGCAACGCAAATAAAAGTTCCCCTTGCCACCACATTTACATCAACACTGCGTCATGTGCTTTGGCCTTGCAATGTAAAATCAGCACCTACCGAAGGTCATCACCTTTTTTCGAGATTTCTGAAGCGGACATCCTACAGCAAGCATATTCTAGTTTCCGTCTTGTTATTGATACTGCCTGGACGACCGAGGGATAAGAGTTCGATTTCCGGCAAGGGCAAGAGATTTTCTATACAACATCCAGACCGTCTGGGGCCCACCCAGCCTCCTTTCCAATTGCTACAGGGGAGGGGGGCCTTCCTGGAAGTAAAACGACAAGGGCGTGAAGCTGATGACTCACCTCCATCTATGCCGAAGTTAAGAGTGCGTGGAGCCGTACCTTTAGTCCCACCTACGTCTTCATGGTGTGGTGCTTAATTAAGCCCGTAGAACACTTTGCCTTTTTGTTGGCACCAAATCTAGAGTGGTCATTGCTTAAACTTTCAGACACTCGTTACAATTTACGGACCAAATATAATATAATTTACATTAAGTTAAACAATATAAATGACCGCGAGCGTAAAGCGTTTTCTGAAAACAATCGACGAATCTGAAGATGTGTAGCCCTTGACGCATGGCCGATCACAGTGGCTACAGTCTCAAGCGCGTAGCCCTTCCACCGTTAGGACAGAGGGATCACGAGTTTCAGCCCCGATCGAATATGTGGCGTCTTTCTCTTATGTTGTCTCTTCAGTAGGCAGAGGCTTGCTGATGATGGCAGAGTTATAGCAGATACCTGAATGAGTATTTATTTGGGACCGGAAGATGTAACCTCTGATAAATTAGGACTAGTCGTAGTAGTAGTTCTGTCGGTGTTGCTGTTAGTAGTGGTGGTGTTAGTTAGTAGTAGTAGTAGTAGTAGTAGTAGTAGTAGTAGTAGTAGTAGTAGTAGTAGTAGTAGTAGTAGTAGTAGTAGTAGTAGTAGTAGTAGTAGTAGTAGTAGTAGTAGTAGTAGTAGTAGTAGTAGTAGTAGTCACTGCATGAAACAAGATGGCGCCAGCGATAATGTTTCTGACTTGTATCGAGGATGTTCTCGCTTCGAATTCAGCTGGACATCATCAACTATCATAACTGAGGTTTTCCATGCTTTTCCTCATCCCCTCCAAACAACTTCCGGGATACACTTTGCTCCGTCCATATCTTCGCCACTTCACTTATCGGCTTGCCTTCCGACGCTCTGCAGTCACGTAGTGATATTTCTCTAATAATTTAGGCGTATGTTTTACAGTACACCTGTGTGAATGTTTGACAACCCCCTTCCGTCCTGAATCTCTTTATAGCGTTAAATTACCCCATGAATAGAACTCTAGCTAGGCGGTTATTGGCACAGGGCCACCGTATGCTTCAAGTGAACCCGTCGGCTCTCTCGCTGTCCTTGCTATGTGACGTAGATCGCTGAATAAATATGTTTTGCCACAGTTGATTCCCAGTGAGTGAGGACTAATGCATAGTTAAACAAAGCATACTGAAACGTGTAGTCACTCCAGAGTGGCAATCGTGGAAGAATCTTGATGCGGTGGAGAACGTGTTGAGTGATACATAAAAAGGCATTTTGAAAGAAACCAGTACTGTTTGTGCTTCGTCTTTTTAGAGTACGGGTTTAATTGTATTCCTAACGCAGTATATTGAGATAAACGCATAGCCTTGCTGAAGATGTGTCAGCCTTTTTTTGATGTTGTTGTTGGCTTGTGTTTTATTTATATTTTAATTCTCTCACCAGTGTTTGTGACATTGACATCCGTGGAGTAGAACAGGCATTAACACTTTCCTGTACATGCAATCTTCGATTGCTTAAAACAGCTGAACTCAGTGTTTTATTTTGCTTTCATTGTGTATGTTTTGCTGGATGTGTTATCTGAATTTTCAGTGTTGCACCATACCTCGGTGTGTTTACGGTATATTTAATTAACAAATAAATATCGAACTGTTTTATTTACGTAATAATGGAGCTTTTGTAACTCCACGTTAGGGATTGCTTCACGTTTCTTAGCAGCTGTTTGATAGAGGAATTATATTAAAATAGTAACTAAGGGATGGCTGCTCTTTTGAAAGGAAGTGGATTCTAGTCTTGTTAGTGACCCTTTAAAAGACTGATATTATCTGAATAAAATATAAAAATTTATTTTTCGGAAACATATTACGTCTCCGTCACAAAGGCTAACCGGTTAATCTGTTTAGGGAAGTAATCACAGTGTCACAGTGCATGAATATATTAAATAATACAGAGTTAAAATCTTATAATTTTTAATAGTTGTCAAGGAATTATCCTTGAAGATTAGTTGTGATTAATCTTATGTTCTCATCTTCTGGGTGTTGTATGTATTTGAAGGGCGCAGAGTGGCTGTATGTACAGTTACTTGGAGGCCCATTGTGTCATAGTTTCTATTCGCTCTCCTATTGCATGGCAATAGTATTGCTGACACTTGAAATATTTTAGATATGTTTTGAAACACATATTGGGCAGATCTAAGAATATCCCATGCAAAAATTTTAGGTTAGAGAACGTTTGATACTGTATGACTTTCCTTCGTGTCATATTTTTAAGTTTTTAGTCAATTATCATTTCTAAAAATATATTATTAATGAAGCGAGTGAATATCCCAAATCCAACTGAACTCTTTATTTTGAAGTATTTTCTTTTTTGTTAGTTTCTAAAGCTATGAAGCATTTTTATAAATTAGGATTAGGTATTGTGCCTCATTATTTCTGTGTTAAATTATTGAAACCTACTTAGAAGTTGAAGCTTGCAGAATTAGGCTGTATTTTATTCTATTCGGGTACCCTCCCCCCCCCACCCATTATAATAAACTTCAATTTCTCTTATGTATTGGAACAGTTAGCAACCACTAACGATACCAGGACTGGGGACATGTAAGCGTGGCCCCCTCATGTAGCAGGTTTTTGTGAACTGTTTCGCTTCCTCTATCATTTAGTTTATCAGCCAAACGTGACATGTTATCACCTAGAGAATTTCTTGTGTGTTTCAAAACGGCCCCGTAGACTCTTACAGTGCCGGAGCAAATGTTTGTAAAGGCTACATGTGGTAGCATATGGTACCGGTCTGTGGGGACACCGCATCACATTGATATGACACAAGAGTTTGTGCACGTAAGAAACTCCACAGATAACCAGTCATCATTTATCTCCAGTATCTCAGATGATAAATAGCCTGCGCAAGTAACACAGCCGGATTATCGCTAAATTTAAGCGTGACACGGGGAACGGTGCAGCCCTGAATTTTTGGTTAGTTGCGTAAATAAGGTGAACTGCAATTCAAAATTGACATACCAAATGTACCTTATACTTGTGTAAACTGAGAACATTGGAGCTTGGAGAGCAGAATGTATTTGTACGAGAGATAGCATCTGACACGTCAGATAACGTTTTATGTGGACTGACGAGTGAACTCGTATGCTAATCGCACTTCACGGGATTGTCCTTCGTCATTGCAGCTGTATCAGTAGCAGTGACGTGTTGTGTGCCGTATTTCTCAGTATGCACATTTGTTTGTTTCTTCCGTGTTGTTGTTATTGACGAGTCTGAAAGAAGAGGACTGAAAACAGAGCTGAAATTCTACAGCTGCATCGCGCCGTCAGTCGTTCTGAAGTATGCGAAGTGATGTGTTGGTGGAAGAAGAGCTGGAAGGATATTGAGAACACTGGAAGGTAAGAGCGTAAGTAGTTTCGTGTATGAAATGTGATTTATTAAAATGTCGGTGTTAATTATCAGTGTATAAGGGGCATAATGAGATGGGGCGGAAGAATTTATAGACTGGGTTCTGCAGGTAAGTTATCAGGAACTGGGTGTGTGAGCTTCTGATTAACAGTGTCCAAATAAGTCCTTATTCACAGTCTTGCAATGTGCAGTTGAGGCTCTAAATTTATTATTATAAAAATATTAAACGAAAGTGTGGACTGCAAAGCCTGGTTGTCTTCGTTTTTTTAGCCTAGCGACCTTATTTTGAAAAAGAAATGAACTTATGAGATAACTGTGCTGTATGCCTGTATATATATCCTAATTTTTTTAGGCTCATGATATCACCTAGTTGTCTGTGTGTCCCCCATAATCTTTTAGACTTATGAAGTTCTTGAAAACACCTTGTGAAAAAGGTTAAAGTTGCCCCTGGGCTTAACTAATTAAGCACTACGCCATGAAGGCTTAAGGGCAGAGTGGATGTATAGATCCACATTTTCTTCACCTCGACACTAATTGGAGATGAGTATCGCCCTTAATTTTTGTTATGCGGCTCATGAGACCATACTGCTGTCCCCTCCCCGCCCATAATGTTTTTTTTTTATTCTAAAGATAGGAAATATGCTTTGAAAATGTGACACAGTTCAGATATTTGGGAACAACGATAACAAATCAAAACCTGATTCGGGAGGAAATTAAGAGGAGATTGAACTAGGGGTGATGCTTGGGTGTCAAACTTGGTCTCTGACATTATGGGAGGAACGTAGACTGAGGGTATTTGAGAACAGGGTGTTGAGGAGAATATTTTGACCGAAGAGAGATGAAGTGACAGGATGTTGGAGAAAACTGCATAATGAGGAGCTTCGTAACTTGTACTCTTCTCCAAGTATGAATAGAATGATCAAGTCAAGGAGGATGAGGTCAGGGCATGTAGCACGAATAGTGGAGACGTGGAATACATATAAGATATTGGTGGGAAAGCCAGAAGGAAAGAGACCACTGGGAAGACCAAAGCATAGGTGGGTGGACAACATTAAAATGGATCTTAGAGAGATAGGATGGGATGGTATGGATTGGCTTGGTCTGTCTCAGGATAGGGACCAGAGGAGGGCTCTTGTGAACACGGTAATGAACCTTCGGGTTCCATAAAATGCTGGGAAATTCTTGAGTAGCTGCACAATTGGCGGCTCCTCCAGAAGGGCTCAGCTCCATAAGTAAGTAAGTAGGTATATGCGATCGTCACAGACTTTTAGATAATAACTCTATATACGTTGATTATGTATTAAAACGTGTTGCGGTTCAAAGCTCTTGTAGAAGGAAGGGGATGCTGCTGTTTCTCAGACATGCAGTAGGATCTTACATAACAGCTTCAAAGTGAAGATCACATCAGCACCATTACATGTAAACAATCCCCGCTAGGTACATGCTCTTTCCAGTGGAAGAATTATTTATGTCCCTGACGAGAGGAACGGGGTCTGTCAAACAGGGTATTACATTTCGTAGGTTTTCAGCAAATGGAAATGGTGTATTGTGTTGCAAGAGACACAAACTGCAAACCTACATTGTGTGCCCACAGTAAATACTCTTTTCCGATTGTGTCCCTTGATGACTGATATCTGTTCTACAGTATTACATAGCCTGCTTATTATAGGCTGATAATAGTCATACCACTGTGTGGACTTGCGCTCTGTAATACATGATAAATGACTTTGCTAATAAAAACAATTAGATCGTAAAAATTCCTCGCTTTTTGTTTGTATATTGTCAATTATTAGAGGTTGCGTGACTGATAATTGTAGGTTCTAGATTTAATGATTGGATTTATTGATTGCCACTATTACATTTGAACTCCTTAACGACGTCTGTATGTCGAATCTCTATGAGAAATCTCTCACTGTTGTCAGAATCTCGGAATGATCTCTAAAATCTATCCCTGTAACAGACCGTGAAAGCCCATAGGGTTGCGAGACGTCGAGGCTCCCACATTTTCTCTAGACAGTCGGCTCACTTATGGCGGTGAGGTTGTCAGCCTTACGAGCCGGCCCCTGGCTCTGACTCCACTATTCTGGCTTTCAGGCGTCACATTATAACATAGAAGGCAAAGCTTGCTCTCCTGTCTTTCTGTCGATATGTATGTTCAGTGTTCAAGTAGTTACAAACAGAAGCAGAAAGTGAGAAAAGTAAGAGGTATGCTTGAGTCGATATTACATCTTCCATCAGTGTCGAAAAATTCCTGTAGGTGGCAGCACCTATTAGTGCGTCGTATAACTGTTGCAGGCTCTCCAGAACTTTGAGGTTAGGTATGTCAGACACAGTATTGTCATGTGTTCGGGGTTCCGTGACAAATAATTGTGGGTTCTTTGTTTTGATCTTTGGGTTTATTGAACGTTACTAACACATTTACACTCTTTTACAATAATTCACACATTCAACTATTTCTGGATACCGAATCCCTCGCTGTTTTCTCCGTCTTGCATTTCTGGTCTTCTGGACTCTCCTCTCTCTTCTGTTCTGTGCCTTCAATTCTGACCTGTCTGAATTCTGAACTCTGAACTGCTCTTCCTTTATTCCTGCTAGGCGGATAGGATGGGAATCACCTCCTTGAAGAGTTCCGTTTTGTCATATCCGTGGTAACAGCCTGTTTAGAGTGACGTTACCGTGGATATGTCTCCAATAGCTCCATTAAAACCCAGGGTAACAGTGTATTTCGCGTTAGCACGGGAACGCGCCCCGCGAAGCTCCGCCCAGCAGATGCGCAGATTCTGGCTTTCAGGCCGCTCATCAAAGTATGCGTTGTCGTGTGAACGTGTTTGTCACCCAGACAACGATGCAGGACCGTGACTACCGAGCCATTGTCTAGCAATGGACGCCCGCTCTGACTCAGATATTCCGGCTTTTAGGCGGCACGCCACAGTATGTTCTTTTTGGGTAAGACTCTGGATAGCAAAGCCGGTATAGTGGTGAGGCTACAAGGTGGACGACCGAAGGATTGTGGTTCGATTCCCGGAAAGGGCAAGATACTTTTCTCTTTGCCACAGCGCCAACACCGGTCCCTGGGCTCACCCACTCTTCTGTCTACTAGGTACTGGGAACTGTTTATCAGGGAATAAAACGTCCGGGGTATGAAGCTGACCTCAAACCTTTATCAGATGCCGAGGTTAAGAATCCTTGGAGCTTCGGTTTACTAGATCTTAGACATTCGGTAGGACTCCTTGTGCGGGTGATCAGCTCGTCACAAGGCCCTCTACCTGTATACAAACACAGAAATACGCACACACAAACACTAAACATCCTGAGTGGGATTCGAACTCACGATCCCGGCTTCCGACCCAGCGAAGACAGTGCATGCCTTAGGCCGCAAGGTTACCGTGACCGGCAAGGATGACATTACCTTTACTTTTTTGTTTTTAAAATTTTCCGGTTGAAATTTCAATTGGCTTTATGGTAATGACAGCCGTAATGGAGTGTTAACAGAAGGTTGTGCATATTTGATATGGCCGTTCACAGTGGGAACAATAGAAAGTGCAGGAAGTCGTGGCTGAGCTTGTAATGTGTGTGAGGGTAACGAAGTGGACTCGGAGTTGTCAGAGTTCTGCCATAAGTCAACAGAGGAACGCTGACTGCAGAAACGGATGAAAGTATGAATTAATCTGCGGAATCTACGCCGTCTGTTCCCTTTCTGAGCTTCCCATTCATATCCCAGCAAAAACTGTACAGAACATAGTCCCTTGTTATGGTGCGTTGTTTTAAATTAAATTACGCATCAGAACAGGAGCTATTTCAAGGAAATAGCGGATCCGGTCTATAAAACCCAAATTAACGGCCGTGGAGATTCGTTGCGCTCAACACGCAACACCCTCTATCCGCTAAAGTTGGCACTAACTTCGCCGACAAGCGGCGGTCGCTCGGTCGGTATAGTTCGCTTGCGGACTAGAACCATGGAGTTGCTTGAGCTACAGATTGTATGTGTGATAAAGTGACACAATATCTGAACAGAACACGTTTGCGTAACGGTAGCGTTCTTAACTCGTATGCTGAATGTTCTCTGTTCGATTCTCGGCCGGGACTTCGGCTATCCTTGTTTTCCGAAGTTTCCCCAGGCAAATTCCGGAATGGTATTTTGATTAACCCACGATCTACTCCTTCCAAATCCTTTCGAAATCATTATTCATTCTTTCAATATATTCGACGCTGTGTGGTCTAGCTACTAGAAACATCGTTAACTAAGCCACAAATAGACACAGTACCTGTTAAATGACTTAACGTTAGATTATGAACCTAACTGGTATTCATTGGAATCTACCTATTTATCCCTCTATCTCTCTATTTATCTGTATATTCATCTCTTTATCTACCTGTTTATCAATCCATCCATGTATCTATACATTCGTCTATCTATCCTACTATCTTTCGATCAATCTACCCATCCATCTGTCTATATAACATTCCTCCTGGGAGACTCAGAATAAAAGCAAGGACGGGTTTTCCCAAAATACCTCCCTGTAACTGAAGGTAACTTCTAAAGTCTACTGACGTTGCTGCTGACAGTGGTGGAGCCATAAGCCTAAGGAGGACTAGTTTGAATTTAAACTAGACGGTCCCGGGTTGGCATCTCGCAGCGGGCGCTTCTCATTCAGGTAAAATCGATAAGTGGAATGTTATAGCCGCTGTTAAACAATTTTAAGTGAGGGACGTACGGTCACACTGTCTAATTTAGCTCTATTCCTGTTGCTTCCACATGGAACAGGGCGTCCGTGAAACGATTCATTTCAATTCTGTTTCTTAATCTTAAGACAGTCGGCAGGACTCCTTGGACGGGGGATCAGTCCGTTGCAAGGCCGCTACCTACACATGACAACACAAACAGACTGAACGCAGAGAGACGTCCATGCCATGAGTGGATTCGAACCCACGATCCCAATGTTCAAGCGGGGGAAGACATTTCATGCCTTAGACCGCGCGGTCACTGCGA